TACTCCGAAACTCTACCGCTCTGTAATGAGTAACTCAATCAGTTGAATGGAATTGTCGTTGGAGTAAATCCCGCCATGAGATGAGCATATATCCTCGGCTAAATTGGTTTCTGATTAAATGAAAACGCCCAATTAAAAGAATTGATCTAACCAATAAGTCAGTCTATAGTTTTGAATCAAAAATCGTTTCTATCTTACAGCCCTGATACAGAGACATACAAAACATGCAAATCCACAAATAATTATCATGCAAACTAGAATTAGTGCAGTCATGTGTTCAGACTGTAGTAACAATGGATCCTAACCACGATCCTCAAGGCTGAATATGAGATGATGGGGAAAACAGACTTTCAACATGTAACACTAAAAGAAGGTCAATAGTGGTGGACGCGGGATCATTCATTTGAAATCGAATTAATTGGATGGCATGGCTCAGCCTTGCAGAAATGGTCATTCTTTTGTAACTTATCTCTTTTATTCGTGTTAAATACATCGTTCTGTCACCAGCCCAAATGTGTTCTCCGTCATACGCTAGTGATGATTACGATAGAGCGAGTCAGTGTAGAAAATGATGTAACTTCCACGTAAGATCTTATAGATTAGGTAGTCACATTGTGACAAGTCTAAAATTTCGGGATTAGGTCTACTGTCGGAGAGGTACTAATAACAAAGTACACCATAACTTGACAAGACTGCCAGCCATCAAACATAACCGAATTTCCGGAACCGTACCGAAACGACAAGAAGTGAGAGCAAAGAAATGAATGGGGTCTCACAAAGTTTTTGACAGAGTTATCGGAAAAGTAGGGAAACAAAATGAGACCTTTGCTTCTAACGCCAAATCGGACTACAAGGGTGAGATTTTGGTAGACAAATCCACACAACTTATCAGGCCGGACCTCTCCGGCAGGTCTGTAGTTTTACGTAAGTGAAGAGAATCTTCAGAAAAGAAAACAATGGCTGTATTTAAACCACCCGAGTTAGCATTTATAAACTTTATAGAATAGGACAAAATGTTGATTTTTAAATGAAGCCTCTTAAAAGTTACTTTTGCTTCTGCTGAAGACAGAAACCTAACACTAAAGAATTCATGCTAACTGATCGGTCGCAGAATATGCGTTTGTGCGGATCTCAGCCTGATTGATCGCATTAAGAGACGATCAGTAGAGGTAGAAATAAATGAGCGCCGCCAGAACATTGAAAAATCCTCGTACTCAAGGTATTTTACATTGTAAAGGTTTGGAGTGAACCACTCTGAGTGGGACGCGAAGGTTCTTCACAGAATTAGAGTTGTGATATACAATTGCATGCAGCCCACAAAATAAAATGACAAAGCTCAAGACAGCAATGGACACAGAAACCATGATGTCATTGTCATCTTAGAAGCATGGTTAACGTCAGAAGTGTATGGTAGTGGATTTCAACTGCTTGACTTCTTACTCTGCAGAGCTGGCAGACTAAAGCATAGTGCTGGTGAGGTTACCCTGTACACGAAAATTAGCTTAACCATACGACCTGTCGAGACAATGGCACACGAGTTAGGAACATGTGAACTGGTGTACTGCTGGCTGAAGTGTAGTAGCAAGATGTTGGATTAATCGTAGTACACCGCAGTTTACACAGCATACTATAACGATATTTGCAGGGTGCGTTAAGTTCAGTCAGACTTGCCACTTTAGTGGTGCCGTGATCTCCTTCTGATTTGATCGTACGGTCAAAACCTGCGTTGTTTATCGATTAAGCTGGCTTCACTGAGTTTGTTCGCCAAAAGAATGAAGTGCAGAAGGTTATTAATCGATGTATTTTTCTGTGTTAGATTCGTCATCGGTGGGCGCACCACCTTAGTGGCCATAGATCTGACTCCAATCAAATCGTATGAATGATTGTTATTGAACGATTGCTATCGAAATACATATGTCGTCAATCGTCATATATAACCATCGATTTGAATCGTTTTAGTGAATAACGGAATTAAATAAGTCAAATACGAGAATGAATTTTTGAATACGTATATTTTTCTACAATTATTGATTCAAACAGACGATCAACGGAGTAAAAGGAAATTAAATGATGCATGGTGAAGACATGCAAGCCAACTCGATTTAATCCAGTGTGAATCGATATTTATATTCGAACCAAAACAATCTACAGACATTTGATGTGCAAGATAAGAAACGCACACACATACGATTATATAAATAACAGTCAAGATTGTTAGGCGAATAATTAACAAGGCCTATCGCAGTCCAAGCTGTGAGGCAAATGAGGTCCTGCTAAGTAATCTCAGTACTTGGTCACAAAGTGGTCGATATCTAATCCTAGGGGATTTTAATGCACATATGGTAGACTGGGTAAATCTGCGAACTGAATCGTCAGAAAATTCCTTCGAGCAGGAACTAGTTGATGCGGTTATCACATGTGCCCTAGTGCAGTATGTGCAAGAAGCGACAAGGTACGACCCGGACACCGAATCATCCTTATTAGATCTTATACTGACCCACTATGAGAATGACGTTGCAGACCTCCATTATATGCCACCCCTAGGTAAAAGTGATCACGCAGTTCTAACTTTCGACTTCCATTTAACTGTCAGCCACGAGCACGCGTCAGTCCAATCAAGACCTAACGTCTGGAAAGCAAACATACCAGATATCATGCACTCAGCATCGTTAGTAGATTGGACAACAGACCCAGAGTCCTCAATTGAAACTTCCTGGGACGCATTTCGAAATTCATACTTAAAAGTTACCACACCCCACATCCCTTGGACTATACCAAGGGGGCCGAGAAACTCCACACCATGGTTTAGTAGGGAGGTCCGCATCCTTCTCCGTAAGAGAAGGGAAATGTAGGAGAGATTTAGGTTACTGGGGACCGATGGGACAAAATCTCAGTACCGAAAAGCTCGGAATACCTGTCCCTCGACCCTCCGTAAGTCTAGAACGTTGTACGATGAAAAAATTGTTCAGGAATCCATAGAATTTCCTAAACGTTTGTAATTCTATATAAACCAAAGGACAAAGAGAATAGGAAATATTCCTGCTCTATGGGGAGATAGCACTACCGCATCATTAGTGGAGGACGAATTTGGTAAGGCCCAAGTGTTCTCGAACTACTTTAGCAATGTATGTACCATAGAAGCGCCCTTCCCGTCAGCGCATACAGATCCCCCCACACATACGGTAGATGGCGTGACCATTAAAGAACTCGATGTCTTTGGTCTGCTAAATAAGCTTGACATAGGTAAATCCACGGGGCCCGATGAATTACATCCTAGGCTACTGAAGGAATTATCTAACTTCGTTGCGAACCCTTTAAGTATTTGCTTTACCATCCGTAACGCAGGATCGTTTACCAAAAGACTAGAAGAGCGTCACAGTAAGTCATGTCCTCAAAACAAGTACGAAACATAAACCTGAGAATTACCGACCCGTTAGCCTAACTAGTGTGGTTGTTAAAATCTGAGAAAAGATTATTCGGAAGGAGCTGTTTAAGTATCTCGATAAAAACCGGATGCTTCTAGAGAAACAGCACGTTTTCAGAACAAGTTGTTCTTGTCTCACGAACTTATTAGTGGCTCGTGAAAGCTGGTGGGCTCTTAAGCACCAGAAGCTACCTGTAGACGTAGCCTTCATTTATTTCAGTAAAGCTTTTGACAAACTTCCGCACAATCGGCTGTTATATAAGTTAAGAAATGTCGGGATTAGAGGCAATTTATTGATGTGGATAAAAGACTTCTTAGTTGGGTGTCAACAAAGAGTAAGAGTGAACCCAAAGTTATCTAGCTGGGGAACTGTGTTTAGTGGAGTGCACCAGGGTATGGTTTTGGGGCCAATGCTATTCCTCTTGTATGTAAATGACCTTCCTCGTCTCCTATCATCATCGGTCTTGCTATATGCTGACGATGTCAAGATATAGAGAACGATAAAATGTAAAATTGATAGCTTAGGATTCCTAAATGACCTGAAGAAGTGATCTGAATGGTCTCAAACCTGGCAGTTGCCGATAAATACTCCCAAGTGTGTTGTGATGTATATCGGTCATCAAGGTACAGATAAATACACGATGAATAACACTGAGATACCTGTTGTCCAGACACATGATGACTTAGGAGTCATCGTTAGCCAAGACTTAAGGACTGCTGCATACTGTCATGCAACAGCCGCCAAAGGTTTTAGAGTCTTATGGTAATACCTAGGGCTTTCAGTCATGTCGACGCTACAACGTTTTGACTTCGAATACAGTCTCCGTTCGTACTAAACTTGAGTACTGCATACAAGCGGCTATCCCCTGTTTAAAAAAGACAGTGAGCTTTTGGAAATGGTTCCAAGAACAGCAGCTAAGATGATTCCCAGAATAGCGAAGCTTCCGTATTATGCTCAACTGGCCAAGCTGAACCTTTTCCCGTTGTCATATCATAGAACTAGAGGCGACTTGATTACAGTTTTCAAATTGCTTAGTGATAAATTCGCACCTGATATGCCCTCATTTTTCTTGTCTTCCAAAACAGAGAATTTAAGAGGACACTCCAAAATAGTTCACAAGCCCAGAACAAATTACTTGTCAGCTGACTGTCGACTTTCCCATCTAATCATCAACGAGTGGAATCCATTAACTCAGAACGTGGTTGAGGCTCCATCCGTCGACTCTTTCAAAATAAAGTTGGATCAACTGAGAGACCACCATTGTCAGGACTAACACAGGCCATCAAGCCTCCTGTCCTTTCCAAACTGAAACTAAATGTCAAAATGTGACTTAAGAAGAATGAATAAATAGGCTTGCCCCGAAGCTAGAATAAGCTGTGTAGGCTTTCAAAGAAATACAGGAAAAGACACTCACAGATGCTTACTAGAAAAAGACTAATAAGGACCGCAAACCTTCTGTCTTTACTACATAACTGTGAAATCTGCATCTGGATATTGGATACTGGACAGCGGTAACATGTAACGAAGGTCCAAGTAGGGTCGAAGCATTCTCTGTGGTGTTAGGCTATTGCTAATATGGAAAATGATGGGCAAGGTAACTTCAAACTAACAGATGTACGATCTCCAAATGACTGGGAACACGCTGACTTGGGTTCTAAAGACCGAAACATAAAGTTCTTAAAATTAATGGGAGGAAATCCTGTACGTGACCATAAAGGAAAACTAGTAATCGGAGAAAACATCGATAACGTGCACGGTCAAAATAAAGATACATCTGTTATCAATGAAGAGCTAGAAAATCAGTACCTTCAGGGTTTGGAAAAGAGTATGCAACCAAATTGTCACCATGGTTTAGGAAGCCATACAAGTGAGTCAGCTGACTCGTAGACGTCCTCTTTTTTTAGTACTAATCGGCCGATCAACTCATATATTGTTATTTATTTGGGTTTTTATTTTGCGATTGCTTTGCACGTTTTGTTTTTAACACCAAGATATTGGTACAAGAAGGCACCAAATACATATGCGCCACACAAATCTCATTCGATATGTGTGAGGGCTGTGATGGTACTTAACAAAATGAATTTCCCTACCAATAAGTAAAAATATAACCAATGGTTAACCATTGGTTATATGTTAGTGCTCAACCCCAAATATGTTTTGAACACAACCAAATCTAATACTTTTGAATAAGTACTGAAGTGCTAATTGGTAAATCAAGCCTACTAAATTTTTATAAAAAGATAGCATTCTGGTTAGGTCACTTCACTTATTTTTACCCTTTGAGGCTGTCTGGATATTTTTGAAGAACAAGCCGCTTTTCTTTAACACTAGTCTTAACTAGTCATGAGAAATCTAAATCTTTGTTCCGAATTCAAGTTGCTTCTAAAGCGATCGCGATAGCCATTTGCCTCTTATCGTCAATCAGGAAACAATACATCTGAGTTGTTTATGGTAGAAAAAATGAATAACTAAGAATATATTGTTTTTACATGAATATTGAGCTTTTTGGAGTCAGCTATAATTCCTTAGACGTTAGGGTTCGGGCTTATGACTGCGGTTGGTTTATTTATACTCTGAATCTAATCCTGAAGCGTAATTCTAATTCTATAATGCAACAAACGTTTCAACGAAATATCACTCCATCTGCCTTTAATTTATATCCGTTGAAATTATTTCCATCACTTCATTACAACTGAGTGATTTTTCCGGTTAATCCAACATCATACGGATATTTAGTAATATATTCCATACTAGAATTATCATACGGTCGATAGCCAACATCCTGGTTTAGCATTTTACTACGACCGTAATTCAGCTACTAATAAAGCTTTTTACATATTTAGGACTTTGGTCTTTACAGACAAACAGAAATAATGTTGTGAAATGAATTACTCAGAGTTAAATTATCGCTTTCATAAACTGTTGGCTATGTCTGACTATGTTCAGACTAGGTTTATTCATTAAGCGAATCCCTTAACTAGTATACAGCTTTAGTTAACAAGAACCAAAACTTATCTCTTGCAAGTGCTGTTCGGTTTATCACTTTCAATTGACTTATTGTGTACTGGAAACGAACCTCGTATTAAGTCACAATACCTTCATTGTAGGACTTCTGATATGCAAAAATATCCCCAAAAATTCCTCAAAATACTGTTTAAAAGTTTGGTTCTGAAAACACTGTTTTTACATCGATTCATGGTTCATTGAACTCTTCTGAATGGATCTTGTGGTATCGCCAACATTCAAAGCGAACTTGGACCATCATATAAGACTAACTTACAAAGACTAGTATAAGCTGTGACTAAGGTAATCACACGATCACAATGTCCGATTGATTGGCTAAGTAGTCAAGGCTACACATTGTGCACAACTCAGATTTAGGTGCCAGTCAGTCAGTCTTGAGTGATGTTAGAGTTATGAGGGCGGTTATCATATCCCAGTTGCCCACACAGTGGAAGGGTTCTTTTAAAAGTACCTGAAAAGGAAGTCGGGTTAGAGGTGGTCTTAGTGACCTAAGAGTGACAGTAGTAATAAAGAGACAACTGCTTGAGGTCGGTCACACACGACCTTTCTGTGAGTAATTTTCGTGTTAGCTTCGTACTTGTTGAGACCTTACCGTGGGATAAGGTGAGGCGTGCATTTTTAGGGTCGACATTTCCTAACCCCATTCTTCTTTGTGGGAAGGCAGCATCGTTGTTATGCTGGTTGTCTGAAGGAAACACCTTACTGTCGTCACATCTCTGTACAGTCAGCAGTATGACTCCGCCCTTATACCTTGGGTTTACTGCTTTTAGTCTTAGCGCTCTTCAACCGACCTGTCTGGCATGGTAGGACTTTGAGGAACAATTGTTTCAGCCAGTATAGCTCGATTGGTTCATCACGATAGGCAAGTCCGACCACCACGTCGAGGTGGCAGCAACGGTTTAATAGAAAACAAAGGAGTATTCAAATTTGCCCTTCACCAACGGCCCTTTAGCAACAACCTATGCTTCTTGTTTTCATTAGTTAGATTTCCCCGTGTTCCTATCCTTTCCGTTCTATTCAGTTGGAGGCGATCGGCGAGAAGTCTTAGTTCCAAGTTTCCACTTGATGATAGACTACCAGTGTTTTGGCACCTGGTTTTGAGCTTTTGGGAGATTCAGATTTATCTCATCTGACATAGTGACCAAAAATGTTACTGAAGTGGTTTAAGCTAGAACTGACATTCTATAACAGCTTAGGAGTTGCGAGAATTCCGTCTAAACCTTATCACTGGTCTAGTTCGAAGCTTTAAACACACATTTTCATCATATACTAGTATTGGAATGTTAAAGTTATGATTTATGATATAATATTTTTGACTCCAAATCAAACAGCAACAAGGTTGTTTTTGACTTGCTATTCACCAATAGGATCTACCAACCATTAAAGTATATGATGTTATGTACTGAAACCATTCAAACCTATATGGTAGACATGTGTTTTAACTCATGTGGTTTCTCTTTGAAGCTAACAGCAGGACTCAGTAATTACACTTTATAGCAGAAATATAGTAAATTTCATACAGCAGAAACTTGACCTCTGTACATCCAGATTTTTCACTGTTACTCTTCTGAACTGAACATAATTAATATTTTCCTGGATGTATTAGTTTATTTCTACTTGGATGTGGTAGCGCAACTTGTACTGTGATCCACAATAATTTACGGAAATAGTTAATTCTCTTAAGTTTTAAGACGTTCCTCTGTCATTTTGAAACTGGGTGGGTGGGAAGCTGGTAAATTGCAAACAACCTACATTTAAGTTTTTATCATCATACTAGTTAAAAAGGTTCATTGGTAACATAGTAAATTTATGGAGATTGTTTAATTTGTACTTTATATGATAAATTAACATTAGCTAGATAGTTATTAAAAACCAGAATACACGACGAATATTTCGTTATAGTGTCGAAATCCTCATCAATGTGTGTCCACAAACATACCAAGGGTCGAAACCAGGTTTTCCAAGCCACAGAGTCATAGTTCTTGGACTAAACAACTTTTCAGGAATTTTTGGTTATCAATACTTGTCTAACTGGAGACATTTCATGAAGCCAACTAAGAACAAACAATCATATTAAATTTAAAATTAAGTTTCATCACTGACCGGCACCAGTTATAAACGTATTGATAACTAAGGGGTGTATTACTTCTCAGTAGTGGAGACTCACAAATTCGTTTGAGACCTAACTAGGATCTTTGAGTCTGGTAGCGAACACGATACCCATGGATCATTATGTGAATATCCAGTAATTAACATTCTTAAGTTCATTCAATTTACCAGATTGTGCATTCACTGTTTGATGCCATCACTGATGACATATTCATCGTTCTATATATCGTTAGAATCATCCTGTTGTATGGGCGAGAGAAATAGTTATAGGCTGTTTGCTTAGACTGGTAGATAGTTTGATAAGTATTGGATGTGTAATATATATTTTCCTACCCCTTATTATCATAATGTTGAATGTTGACTAATACACGTACGAGTCAGGCGAATCACGTGTTATTGATTTCAGTTGCGTTGAAGTTTGGTATCAATTATAGAGCGAATGAATCATATACGCAGATAAATCGTTTAGTGTTCGTCCTGAGAAAATTAGTGTCCATTTATTAAAAGGAGAAATCCGACTGTTATTTTAGAACCAATCACGTCTTCTCTACTTTATATTGGGAACTCACTTCGAATCTAACACTCTCTACAAATCAGTATCCGAATATCTAAGTTTGTTTAATCCACTTTCTAATCTTCAATCACAAAATCAATAGCATTTACTTACATCACCGTCATCCTGTTTATCACTTTTCTTGTTCTTTTTCTGCCTTCAAACTTGAACAGATTCCTCGTCCAACCCAGTGGACATTTTGGATTATACCAACACAGAAAAACTTAAGCAACAATATAAATCATCATTTATCTCGGGAAAGGATTCTTAATAAAGAATTTAAAAATGCTTATCGCTTACCGTGTATTTTTTCTTGTTTATATTTTCGGCGATTTTTTTTATGCAATTATAATAGTTTCTGAATGAACGTAGATATGTGAATACACTTTGTGGCCAACTCTTGAAGTTATTCTGCCAAAAGATGTCTATAATTTACACTAATAGATATTCAAATGTTATTTCTTGTGAGAAGTGACCAATTTTAGAATTTTTTTAAAACTTTTTGTGTTTTTTAAATGTTCATTCAAAATTACGAATTTTTCAATGCAATTGTACCATTTCCTAAACAGTATACGAAGTTTAAGACTTGCGTTTACTCGTGAAACAAGCAAATATTTAGATAATGATTACCGTTTTTTTTTGTGAATTCAGTTTGTCAGCACTTATTATGTCAACCGACTAATACAAAAACTTGTCTCTCAATGCAAAAAATATCATGTCAACGAAAATAGAATTCATTGTGCACAAGATCAGTTACTAACAAATTGTAAGTAGCTTGATACACGAAACCAAACTTTACCAAAGCCGCTTAAATGACCTCTTAAACCCAAACTGCTGGACTTTGCACCACCATGGAGAATGGAAATGAACAGGATAGAAAAAAGGTATCGCGTAAATATCAGCCACTCTGGTAAACTAGTCGTCTTGATAAGCGTTACCTGCTCATGCACCGCAATTCTAACCACCGTTTATCAAGGTGTACATCATAGGCTGGTCAAATATACCTAGTACCCCGGTTGTGAACGAAAACACAAATGAGGGACACTCGGTTGTATTTTAATGTAACATTACAGAGTACTTTCATCAGACGTGAGGACAATACGTTCAGTACTTGAATTGCAAATCCTCCATCCACTGTCTCAAACTTCGTCGTTCCTTCATTATCATAGTGATTACACTCTGTTTCCACTCGCTTCGATTCGATCATCTCAACATACTACTGGCACGTTTTCCACTTCCGATCGGTTTCGCTTACCACCTTTGTCTGTCCATGTAAATAGCATACAGCACACCCCTATATCTAAATTCAGCAGTAGTCACGTAATAGGTTCGCCATGCCCCCGAATGCCCTGGTACGTCCGAGAGTGAGGAGAGTCCGCTTTCCCTCTCGAAATACTCTCACACGGCCACGCGTATACAGCCTCTGCCAGGGGATTCCTACTCACTGCCTTCTCGTGGCAGGGGTGTTGTTTACGAAAATGAGAGGATGAAAAGCGAATGTCCGGCGCTTTAACCGGATCCCAAACCAATGGTGCACATGGGCTCCAGTATCCTGCGGGAACAAATGGCGTATGAACCAATCGTTGGTCACCGGCTACAATGGGACTGCATCTCCTTACGATGCTCCACTGCCTTGTGGGTCAGACCTTTAGGTCGAAGGCTTGGGGTGTGGCCCCCTAAGATAACCACCTGCTTCGGTTTGGGCACCTGGGCAGTATCGCAGCCCACACGCAAATGATGAACTCTATATCTATGGAAACTATTGTTTTCGCTTCGAATAACAAACAAATGATTATTATTACTATCATTATTATTATTATTTACCACATTATTCACCCTCTTTTATACTTATACAGCGGCTCGTCTTTGGTGGAAATTCGACTGTATCTAAACGTTCTCGAGTCACTGTCCGGTTGAAAATTGTATGTTACCACTGAATATGAGTACTGAAGCAGTTTTTCTGAAACCACGTGCACCATTCAAACTGGCTGCCTTCAACGTTCGCACACTTATGCAGGTCGGACAACAGATAGGGCTGGCTATGTCTTTGGAAAGTCTTAATATCGATGTCTGCTGTCTATCCGAGACCCGTATTCAAGACTCTGGCGAAGTACTACAAATTCGATCTCCATCTGTCGCTTCGAAAAGCTTGTTTTACGTGCGCTTATCCGGGGACCCTGTGGCATCTTCGTCTGGTCTTGCTGGCGTTGGTGTCGCACTAAGCGCTAGAGCTGAGGCAGCACTAGTCGATTGGATCCCCATTAACAGTCGGTTATGTGCTGTTAGATTAGAAAGTTCCATCAAAGTGAGAAGAAATCGGCGTGAGAAACGATGTCTTTTCGTCATCTCCGCCTATGCCCCGACAGATTGCAGCCCGGATGCAATCAAGGATGAGTTTTACCACCAGTTATCAGTTCTTCTCCAGAAAGTGCGTTCGACAGATATTGTAGTACTAGCCGGAGACTTGAATGCTCAGGTCGGGCGTCTAGGCACAGAAGAGAGTCGTTTAGGTGGCCGATGGGGACTCGTTGGTCGCAGGTCAGATAACGGGGACCGTCTACTGCAACTTTGCACAGACCACAACCTGTTTCTGGCTAGCACTAACTTTCGGCACAGTCATCGCCGATGTGCCACCTGGCGTCCTCCCTCTGCATCTCAAGCCTGGACTCAGATTGATCACATCGCGATCAGCTACCGCTGGCGTGGTTGTGTACAAGACTGCCGCTCCTTTTGGAGTACCTATCTGGACTCTGACCATGCCTTGGTCTGCGCCAATCTTGCCTTACTTTTCAGTGGACAACGAAGTGACCGCCATCAACGGATTGATGTTAGCAAGCTGGTTGCAACTAAGTATCGAACCGAGCTAGCCTCTAGGCTAGCTACCACTCCACCGAAAAGTATAGATGAGCATTGGTTGCAATTGCATGACGCCATGAAAATGGCGGGAACAGTCAGTTGTGGGTTTGCGAAACGTCCCGCTTTAAGCACTGGGTTTCTTCTGGTTCCTTACAACTCATTGAAGCCCGTCGGTCTACTCCGGGTGACCGTGAGTTTGACCATAAACGAAGGATGTTACGTAAGGAAATTGGGCAAAGCTTGCGTAAGGACCGAGAAGCCTGGTGGTCGATGCGTGCTAATGAGCTGGAAGCAGCAGCTGCATCTGGTAACTACCGGAAGCTCTTCCAGCTCATCCGAGCCACTGGCAGCAAGAAGTCTGGTGTGAGTGAAACAATCTGCGAGGATGATGGGATGCCAATCACTAACATCCATCGACGTCTTGGACGATGGGCAGAATTTTTCGAAGGGCAGTTCAACTGGCCTGCTGCTCCGGCAACATCGGTCAGACTGTCCTGCCCTCCATGGCCGGTGACGACTGATCCACCAAATGAGGAGGAAGTCCGCAAGGAACTCCAACTCTTGAAGCGTTACAAATCACCTGGCCCAGATGACTTACCTCCGGCTCTTTTTAAAGATGGTGGTGACTTTTTGACTAAGGAATTGACGACGTTGTTTACAAAGGTTTGGGAACTAGAGAGTGTACCAACGTCATGGAATGAGTCGATAGTTGTCCCTATCTTTAAAAAGGGTTCACGTCGTTCTTGTAACAACTATCGGGGGATAAGTTTACTTCCGATTGCGTCCAAGCTATTGGCTTCCGTCATTCTTCGTAGGTTGTTCAAAACCCGAGAAAGATTGACTCGCGAGGAGCAGGCTGGGTTTCGTTCTGGTCGAGGATGTATTGATCATATCTTCACCCTCCGCCAAATGTTAGAACACCGCCATACTTTCAAAGGCCAACAATCGTAGTGTTTCTTGACATCAGGGCTGCCTTCGATTCGTTGGACAGGACTGTTCTCTGGGATTGTCTATTGAAGAAGGGTGTGCCTGAGAAGTTTATTAACATCCTAAAAGCCCTATATAAAAACACCTCAGGCAGAGTGAGGGCATACAACCACCTCTCTCCATTGTTCCATTCGAGCAGTGGGGTTAGGCAGGGTTGCCCAATCTCACCATTCCTCTTCAACTTTGCCATCGATGACATTCTGGAAACAGCTCTGATGAATGTAAGTAATGGTGGTGTGGATCTGTTGCCTGGAGAAAGACTTCTCGACCTTGAGTATGCGGACGATATTGTCTTACTGTGCGATAATGCCCAAGGCATGCAATCCGCACTTAATCAGTTGGCAATCAGTGTCCGTAGGTATGGTATGTGCTTTGCACCTTCGAAGTGCAAAGTACTTCTACAAGACTGGCAGGATTCTAATCCTGTACTCACCCTGGATGGTGAGCAGATAGACGTAGTCGAGAAGTTCGTGTATCTGGGTAGCTGCATAAGTGCTGGTGGGGGTGTGAGTGATGAGATCAATGCACGAATAGTGAAAGCCAGAGCGGCTTATGCCAATCTGGGCCACCTTTGGCGCCTTCGTGATGTTAGTCTGGCTGTAAAAGGTCGGATCTACAACGCGTCGGTGAGAGCAGTTTTGCTCTATGCTTGTGAAACCTGGCCTCTCCGAGTTGAGGACGTTAGACGACTCTCTGTGTTCGATCATCGCTGTCTCCGAAGGATTGCTGACATCCAGTGGCAACACCATGTCAGTAATGCAGAGGTTCGGCATCGTGTGTTCGGGCACAGAGATGATAATTCAATTGGTGTCACCATCTTGAAACACCGACTTCGGTGGCTTGGACATGTTCTACGAATGTCGTCCCAGAGAATTCCACGTCGTGCATTATTTGCCGACTCTGGGACTGGTTGGATAAAGCGGAGAGGTGGTCAGTGCATGACATGGTGTCGTGGCATGAAAGAAAGCTGCAAAGGACTGGCTTGTGTTGGTCCTTCACGACTCCCTGGTTGGGGTCTGAGAGATGGTGCTACACAGTGGCTAGAGACGTTATCAGATATGGCTCAGAATAGAAGCCAGTGGCGATCCTGCTGTAACCTTCTTTTACTTTCTTCATAAAAAGTGGTTGTGTCTTCCTTAACTGAAAGATTTCTTCTGATTGTAGCTTTCTGTTCCCTCATTATTACTATTATTATTACTACACTACCTTACACCAACCTCTTCGTTATTGTTCTCTTTTTTTCACGCTCCTTACTTTTTTTCTTTGAATTCTCATTGTTTTATGTGGCGCATATTTATTGGCACTCTCTTGTACCAATATTTATGTGTTCAAATAAATAAATAAATACATGCGTAATCAACGCTTCAAAAGTATATATGATCAAAATCTAAAAACTTTGGCACATGTTATACCTTCAAAAACCCCTTG